AAAGACCTGCTCCTGAGATTGCTGGAGTGTCCTGGCAGACAAGTCACGCATACCTCCAACTAAATAACTTGAAAACATATAGCTTTTAAGTCCCTCTTCAGGCCTTACAAAGAAACCCAAGACTAACAGATTTAGTTACAGGAGATCTCTGAGCACCTTTCAGACAGTAGCAGATGTGAAAAGGTCCAGTCAACACCTGCGGATCTCAGGGGCGTCTGGGAGAACAGAAATGGCACTAACTGTATTCACACATGTTTATTATGCACACACACACACACACACACACACACATGCATGCATTGTGTGTACTGTAAAACCTGCACATATGCATACGGCACGTTCCCTGTGGCAGACTGTTGAACTGTCCAGGGTGTACCCCGCCTCTCGCCCAATGTCAGCTAGGACTGGCTCCAGGCCCCCTGTGACCCTCTTCAGGATAAGAGGTATAGATAATGGATGGACGGCTATACAGCACATTACACATGCTCAAGAACTGCTGGAACAGCAGTCACATATACTGTACATTATTTATATCCACTTTATAGAAGGATGTAGTGTTTGTGGAGCTTGGGTGTACAGTATATTAGGGACTTACATTGAGGATTTGTTACCAACAAATGTAGATACAGTAATTTAACCTCCACAAAGCTCTGAGGCAAAGATTGCGCTCTATTCTGTACTTAATATTTATCTGGATCAAAGTAAAAATAACTGCTGTTGCCATGCATACAGCGGCTTCATACAGCTAGTTCGTTCACGCTATAGGTTGTAGCTGCTTGATATGGTGGGTTCCAGGATTCAGGACCACTTGTCACACTTTTTTCTAGGATGAAATGCCCTTGACCAGGAGCACTTACTTTAAATTGCCTAAGTAAGAACTGAGCTGAATAAATGACATGTTTAATGCGAGTCATAAAGATTACTCTGCTGTGTCCATTAGGGTGTGATAATGGGAAATAAAAGGGAGCTGTTGTGAGGGAAATTACTTCATGCATTCAAAGTGGAAAATGCTTATCTTAATCAAATGAGTCCTGAATATATTTATACACAGTACTGTTGTTTTCAGTTTGCTAAAGAACTTCGACCTCAGGATTAAACAAAAAGAGTGACAGCATGGAGATGTACATCTGCTGTAGACCACAAAATGAAGGATGAAATGTGTTCAAGTGTCACATGTTATGGTGTGTTGGCCAACAAACAAAAAGCTAGTCACAACCTCATTTGGCTTAATTCAAATTTTGATACCAGTCATTTTAAAATGCTCACTGGACAGAGTCACAGTTACAACCAGAGGCAGCTTATTTTGTTCTGAAAAGCAAAAGGAAGAATAAGACATATTTTTTTACAAGCCTTTGTTTTACTCTGACACCTTGAACTACTAAAAAGATTAATGTGTTTTGTCCATGTTCTAGCCAGGATTTAAGAAATATTCAGGGAACGAGTCCTCTCAACACAGCTGGTGGCCTTTAACCTGCTAAGTGGCTGACACATTGGACTGGGGTTGAACTGGGTAGCTTCTACAGCAAGTGTGAATGTGTAGGCGTACAGCAGTTCCACTTTATTTTAGCTGGTCACACATCGCAACACATTCTCCTTATGTCCAGCTAAAATGCATGGCAGGTAGTGGATACGTGTGTGTAAACTTGTCGAGTCAGTGCCACCCAGAATGGAGTCCTTCCAAAATAAATGCACCAGTAAATGGGCAGCGTGCATTAGTCATTTTGTTGTTAAAAATGACATGTTAAACAACATAATAAACTGATCCTCATGGAGCTGTACAGATACACACAACATCAAATACAGTCAGAAGGTAGTGATGGTGATTTTACTGTGTGTGATTCAATACAGAAAAGACAGAGTCACCATCATTTACAGAAAGCTTTCTGTTCCTCCTTACTGGACACGTTCTGCTGCTGCAGCTGACCAGATTGACCTAACACAATACAGAGACCCTTGATTGTCCATCAAAATGGATCATGTTCTTCCCAAACAATTTCCAAACAATGTCCACCAGCCAAAAAAGAAAATCTGCCACGTCCCAGTCAGAGCCCAGACCTCGACTCAACAGAGAAGCTGTGGAATGACCTCAGAGAGCCATTCACACCAGACATCCTGGGAATATGACTGAGCTGAAGCAGCTCTGTGAGGAAGAATGGTCCAAAATTCCTCTTGAACGTTGTGGAGGTCTGATCAGCAGCTACAAGTAGCATTTTTTTGAGGCTATTGCTGAAAAGTAGCTTCAACCGCTTATTAAATCCAAGGGGTCATTTAATTTTTCAACCAGCACTGGGAAGAAAGACATTAAAATGTATAAATGTTTGTGTTGTACTAGCTTTAGCATATTGTCTTTGTTTATATTTGTCACTTAGATCACATTTTATAACCCATTCATGTAAAAAAAAACTGGGTACTTCCAAATGGTTAACTTAATTGTTCTTGCCACTGTGCATGCATATAGTATTTATTTTCTCATCCACTCTTCTGTTGCTCTCTGTAATCACTCTCAGGCTAAAAGACAGAATGAGAAAATGCAGCTCAGTTACCCCTCTAACAAAACCTCTACATTAGCTTTCTCCTTAGAAGGATACAAAGCCATCTGGATGTGTATTCCCCACATTCTGGGCCAACCTCTCTCCACCATTATGCTTTTCATTTTCTTCTCTAGGCATTGTGAGTCAGAAGTATCAACAAGATACCACTCTGTTCTGTTTCTGTCATGTGTGATACATTCCCTCTAACTTTGTGGCTGTTATTAGAGTCTATTTGTATTTGTCTTTCTTTGTCTTTGTTGCAGAGCAGTGGTTTTATTATCTCATCTGTTTATGGGCAAACAAATTGTGTATGTGCTTGTGTGTGTGAGTTTAAACACAAAATCATTGCAAATGACAGAGATTCTGATGCTGGCAAAATTACTGATTCCTGACAATAACTGGGAAAGAAATGGAATTTGCTATGTCCTCTGGGCAATAAATAAAGTCATCACACATGCACACTAATCTTTTCAATTAATAACTGATAGAGACACAACAGTGGTGATCAATACACAACCCATTGTTGCTATGCAGGTATCCTTAACAAATGTCCATCTATTCTGACTTTCAAGAGTGTTTCAAGAG